CTCACTTCGCAAAACCCAAAGCAATGAAAGCAAAACAATGAAATACCCAAAATGCCGCCCACTCGGTCGCACCCCGTCCACCCTGCCTGTTCCGCCAAACCCATCACACTGGGCTGCTCCCCCTCTCAGCTTGTGGGCACTGATGGCGTGCCGTGCCCAGGCGTCGCTGCGTTGCTGTCATGGTGACTGATGCACATGTGGAGATCGCCACAGGCCCCGGGCTCATACAGGTCGGCCAGCTGGGAGCATGCGTCCGCCACATGGTGCCGGCCGTCCTTTCCGATTGCCTGCCACACTGGCGACCAGTCTGCCTCCACCTTCCCATCACAGGAGGCAGCAGCATCAGTGGAATGGCCCCAGGGCAGTGATGAAACTAAGTCTGATGAATCTTAAAAAAGCACAAGGAAGGTCCTAAGATGGGCTTTGCCCTTGCCGAGAAACTACTCTGCTTGAGTTTGAAAAGCAGAGGCTAGGTGATACATCGAGCAACCAGCTGAGGAACGATGTTTGAGAATGGCCCAAGGTGGCTTCCAAGGGATGAAGACCCAGGCTCAAGCGCCCAGATGTGCTGGAGTGTCAGCATCTGAGACGTGTACAAATGGCCACCGCTGGTGGTGTGCCCTGTCTACGTGCTCGGACACGAACCCACTGAGGTGTGTTGCAGCAGGCCCTCTCAGCCATGAGGTCATATAATGAATGTCAAGAGCTGCTGTTTGCGGAAAGCGCTGGACACCCTGGGGAGTCTTGCAGCAACCATTTGGCACCTCAGCAGGGCTTGTCATTAAAACATGTTTTAGTTGGCGGCACGAATGTCAACATGGTCACATTCCCAAGGGCGACCAGGGGGCCCCAGCAGACAATATTTGAAGACAGCACTGTGTCCTTCCCCATTCCCAACAGCAATGCCATTTGAGCTGCTGTGTTAGCCAGCCCAGGAACTCTGTGGACACGAGTCTTGAGGAGAGCATGAACAAGCTTGTCTGGTAGACAGGATGCAACACCACCAGCTAACTGTTGGCAGGAAAAATGCCACTTCTGCCACTGTTGTCGATGGAAAGGGTAGAAGTGGGAAACCCCACTCACCAGTGCTTTGTTCTTGGGACAGCTGTCAACCAAAATGGGGCAACTAGCTTTCTGTTGGCTCCTTGTAGTCACTAGACAGAAGTGAGCCATCGTTTGGCAAGGAGTTGATCCTGCAATTTCAACCCTGGACCAAAACTCTGGCAAAGAATCCAAGAAAACAGCCATGTGTCGCTGTCCCAGGGTGCAAAGCCTCAACTATCACCCCAAATCCAGAAACCACTGTGCACGATGCTGGCACAAGTTGTCACCGATCCTGTGCATGGAACTGCAAAGGAGATGTCCACCAAATCCCACTTACTGTGAAAGGGAATTATCTAGTCTGCACATCCAATCTGCACTATGAGCACACCGCTCATGAGCCCTGTTTGCATTACGTGCCCCAATCCAGACAGGTTTGCAGCAGCTCCCAGGTGCACACAACCCTTTTGCTGGGATGTTGCAAAGAGTCAACACACCTGGGTCCATGCCGATGGCAAACCAATTTCCTGGACAAAGGAGACTATAGGCCTCCATAGCCTAGACTACTGCAGAACCCAACGCTCAAGCACACACCTTGGCTGGAAGCACAGACAGCAGCGCACCAAACAGCCATTGAGTTGTGAAGTGACAACCTGCCATTCTTGCTGGTTCGAACGAGGTCTGTTGTCACTGTGGTGGCGCCCAGGCCCGCGCCCGTCTGGGCGAGTGTTCTCCACGGCTTGCCGTATCCTCCGCGCATCACTGTTTCTGTTCCACCGTGTTGTGTCTTTTGCCCCACCCATGTGCAGAGCCAAGTGGAAAGGGTGATGGTGGTGGTAGTGGTGTGTGCGTGGGGGGGTGGGGTGGGGCGTGGGGGGGCGATTCGGTGGCGTACCTTGCACAGGCGGCACGCCATCATGAGCGCGCTGGCCGCCAGCGTGGCCGCGCCATACTGCAGCCACAATGTGGTGCGCCGCGAGTCGTCCAGCAGCGCCCACGCGGCCTGCGCCGCGTCGCGCGCGCCCGGGTCTCTCTCCGGTGCCAGTCCCAGCACGCCCACGAACTCCACCAGGTGAGGGTACGGCTGCTCCACCCGGAAGTCGAACCCGATCGCGTGCAGCAGCGCGGTCTCCGCCTCCAGCACGCCCTCCCGCAGCGCCCCTTGGGCCCCCTTGTCCTCCCGGAACGCCCGCACCGCGTCCGGCTCCCCCCTGTGCCTGTGCGCGAAGCATGTGGAAACCACTTCCATGACGTTCCGCACAGGGTCCTCCACCTTGGACGCCAGGTACAGCGACGCCGTGGCCACCAGGAAGCGGTCGTTGCGGCCCATGCTGCGCGAGGCGTAGAACAGGTGCGCGAAGTACATCGCGCTGCCCACGGCGTAGGCCGGCAGCCGCAGCTTCTCGCCAGCCGCCTCGATCATCTCGCAGTAGGACTGCCGCATGCGCGCCTCGCGCTCCGCGGACACGCCCTCGAGGCGCGTGGGGGATGCCAGCTCGAGCTGCTCGCGCGAGTAGAAGGGGAATGGCATCTTTGGCAAGGGGGGCCTGCGCGGGCAGCGGCCCGGGAGGCCAGCAGGCGGGCGGAGCGCGTTGGGAGGGGCGTTCGGCGGGCGGGGTTGGCTGGGTGGGGGATGGAGAGGGGAAGGACGCGCGTTTGGAGATGAGGGGAGGGGCGGGTGTCCCTTGTTGAGCTCGGCTGGGCTTGTGATGCACGGGGCGCGACGTGTCCCGATGTAATTGGGGGTTTGGAGGGGCGGCGGCGCCTGGCGAGGTTGTCGTTGTTTGGGCTGCGTTCGGAGGCTGTTGTGCTTTACAGTGTGGTGAGAGCACTTGTTCGGAGTCCAAAATGGAGGATAACCAGTGAGGCCCAGAGTTCCGTGCTTCCATCTTTTTTGAATTTTTGGATGGGTATAGACATCCTGCATATTCCCCTAAAAGCACAACCTACACCATCGGGATGGGGGATATCACACACGTTACTCACACGCCTAGTGTGGGGGACGCCTTGCCATGATCTCTTGGTGTGGGGAACGCCCTGCCCAGGATATGGCAACAGTATCCGAACCGGATCTTATGCTATTATACAATATGGGAGTAGGCCGGGGTGCTCCCGCCTAGGTCCCCGTAAGGACCTAGGTGCCCGGCAAGGCGGGTCCACGGCTCAAAGAGGACAAGCGCCTCACACCACCAAAGTTGTTGTATCATTTGGTTTCGGAGCCACCTAGAGGTGGCCCACGTGCAACCAGTAACAAGGCGAATACCAGCGGAGCTACAATCCCCGGCCTCCACCATGGAGGCCAAGGAGACCGACCTGACAGCCCATGAGGGCACGGCCGCCGAGGAGGCCGAACCCGCAGCCAGAGATGGCGCAAAAGCCAACCAACCCGGTGACGTGCAAACATCCCATAAGGGACAGGTTAGTGAAGGCGGAGCAATCCAGGAGGACGCGATAGCAGGAGCGGCTAGCAGCTCAGATTGCATGCTTAGAGATTGAATCCACAGCCGCCCAGAAGGAGGCGCGCCGCCATGAACTAGCCTTCAAAAAGGTCAAGGAGCAAAGCAAAGAAGCCGAAGCCGAGAAAGCTTCCGCACGGGAGCAAATGGCCCGTTTCAAATGGGCTGTTTGAGTGACCGCCTCTTGAATAGATGGCGTGGTTTTCGGTTCGATGCGGGCGGTGGCGCCCGCCGAGACGCCCAATGAGGCCGCGGGGCCTCCTCCGCCGGATTGCCGGCGGGCTTTCCGGGGCGCTCGTGTCTTCGGGTACGCAGCGTGGGCCCAGGCCGCAGGGATGGCCGGGCGCGGGGCGGCTGTGCGCGCGGTGGGTGCACAGCGCCGTGCGGCTCGCGGGTGCAGCCGCTGGGAGGCGCGAGACAGGGGAAACAACGGTTACAGTACTGCGTCTGGTGGTCACCCTTTTGGGGCGGCCACCGGCGCGTGTCACATGACAATGCAGCGCACCGTATCGTGTCATGTCCAGCGATAGTATCTCATCCCCCAATACGGTCCAGGAGAGGGCCCTAAAGTACTGGATATTCAACTAGCCATATCTCCTCAACCACTAAGCCAATTGGGGTGGTTCAAAAACCTATGGACTCCTAACAGAGTCTACTTTCACCTGAGATAACATAATCACTGTACACTCCACTTCCCAGCTCCCATATAGAGAAACATTAACTACCCCCTGTAGTTTACACCACAGTACTTCCCCCTTGGGGTAGTTTCGCCCTCGAAACGTTCGGCGAACCAGTGGACTTAATTATCCTCTACTGGTTTGTCCCTCTTAATCATCTTCTTCAGTTCCTCTGGGCAAGTGAAGTTCTCTTCTGGCGTCCAAGAGGCATCATCGAGTGAATAATCCTTCCACAACACCAAAAACTCCTTTTGCCTCTTGGAACTGGGGCCGGTCCACCGCCAACGCAGTAACTTCTCGATCTCATACGGCTCATCCTCCTCGGGCTCCAACTCCTCCACCTGACCAGATGTAGTGGGCTGCGTCCAAGTACTCATCCTGAACGGGCGCAGCAAGCTGACATGGAAGACATTGTGGATCTTCCACTTTTCTGGTAAGTCGAGCTCGTAGGCCACTTGTCCCACCCGACGGACAACAAAGAATGGCCCAACGAACCGCTTCTTCAGCTTCCGGATTGGTGCATTTTTCATTTTCAAGTGCTCTGTCGAGAGCAGCACCTGATCCCCACTACTAAACCTCTGTTCCCTTCTCTTCTGGTCGGCTTGCATCCTCATTCTGTCCTGAGCCCGATGCAGAAATTGAACCGCTGTAGAGAAGTTCCTTTTCATCCGCTCTACAAATTGGTTGACTCCTTCAATCAAAGTGGAGTCACTGTCGTGGATAAGGTCCATCGGAGTACACGGATGGAAGCCATAATTCAGATAGAATGGCGTGTACCCGGTGGCTTGCGTTGGACTATTGTTGACGACGAACTCCACGGTGGACAACAGTCGCTCCCAGTTCGAACCTTCCTGCCCGGCGTGCAGTGTACAGTGCAGCACCATCTCTACCACCCTGTTCATTGCCTCAGTTTGACCATCTGTTTGAGGGTGGTAGGCACTGGACATCCTCAAGGTGCTTCCCAGAATGTTCCACAGCTCCCGCCAAAACTTGGACACAAAACGGGGGTCCCTGTCACTCACGATGGAACGAGGAATCCCATGCAATTTTCCCACTGTATTCCAGTAGACTCGGGCGGTATCAGCAGCTGTAATAGTCTGCTTGACTGGTGCAAGGTGCACCATCTTCATGGCCCGATCTACGATGGTGAGAATTCCATCGTTCCCTGCCTCTGATTTAGGCAACCCCATTATGTAGTCCATGCTGACGTCTGCCCACTTCTGTTCTGGGAGTTTGAGAGGTTGTAAAAGTCCAGCTGGCACACGGTGGACGGCTTTCTCTTGTTGGCACACTGAGCACCCCATGACAAAGTCACGAATGTCTAGGGTGTGCTCGGGCCAATAGAAAGAACGTTGTATATTCTTCAATGTCTTGTGGTAGCCAAGATGGCCTGAGTAAGGGATTTCATGTAACTCCCTTAGAATTTGCTTTTTGATGTCTGGCACATCTGGCACCACTAGCCGCCACTATGTCCTTCGGTGCTTGTTGCTGTCCCTCATCTCTAGTAATCCACCTGACAGCCGGTAGGTTCGATCACCAATAGTAACGTCGCTGCCCTGGGCTGATTCCAGTTGGGATAGAATGTCAGCCCAGCGAGTGTCTTGATAAAGTCCCCTTTTAATCCCCTCTCTCATATCTCTCGCCAATGAAATTCGGGACCGGGCGACCAAAATTGATGGTCCCGAACTTTCCTCTTGACCCGAAATTGGGGTCACCTCCGGACGCGTCTTTGCAAAAATCTGATCCAATTTCTTTTGAATGCCGTCGTCAGACTTGTCTTCTCCCAACAATAGCCTTTTGACCAACGACTCTTCCTCCTCCCGGACGTGTACCATTTCTTTAACGTCCTTGAGACTTCTCCGGGTGAGGAAATCTGCGGGGTTTTTCTTGCCTGGTATATGGACCAGGTCACAATCATACCCCTAAAGAACCTGAACCCACTTCCAAATCCTCCTATTCACAGCGGGTTGATTTGGTAGGTTCTTCAATGAGTCGTGGTCTGTCTGGATGGTGAAATGACGGTTGGCAAGGTAATGCCGCCACTTCCCCACTGCCCAAACGATTCCCAGCAGCTCCCGTTCATATGCCCCATATCTTGTTTCAGCAGGATTCAGCTTGCGGCTCTCGTAGCAGATTGGTTGTAATCCTGAGCCGAAGTCCTGCTGCAAGATTGCGCCTACCGACACTTCTGATGCATCTGTTGTGACGGTGAATTCGCGCTCAAAGTCGGGGAGCTGTAGTACTGGGGCGGTGACCATAGCCTTCTTTAGCCCATTAAATGCCTTCTCCTCCTGGTCACCCCAGACCCAAGGCTTATCCTTTTTGGTTAGGTCAGTCAAGGGTGCAGCTATTTCACTGAACCAGCGAATGAACTTCCGGTAGAAGCTGCACAATCCCAAGAATGACCTAACGTCCGTGACGGACTCGGGCGTCGGCCAATCCAAAATCGCCTTGACTTTCGATAAAGACGGTTTGATGCCGTCCTTCCCAACATCGAAGCCAAGGTATTCGACCTCGGTTCTGAAGAAGTCACATTTTGGTAGTCGCCCAAAGAACTTCTCCGACCGGAGTCTGTCCAAAACTGCCTTGATGTGCTTCAAATGTTCCTCCTTGGTACGACTATATATCAAAATGTCGTCCAGGAAGACTAGCACGAATTGATCAAGGCCATCTCTCAGCAGATGATTCATGATCCGCTGAAAGGTAGCTGGCGCATTGCAGAGCCCAAAGGGCATGACCGTATACTCGAATGAACCGTATCTGGACACGAAGGCAGTCTTGTGAATATCTGCCTCTTTCACTCTGATCTGGTGATATCCAGAGGACAGATCTATCTTCGTGAAATACTGCGCCCCGTGCAGTCGGTCCATGAGTTCCTCAACCTTCGGGAGAGGGTATCGATTTTTGGTCGTTATCTTGTTCAATGCCCTATAATCAATGCAGAGTCGCCACTTGCCATCCTTCTTGGGGATGAATAGCACTGGCGCTCCGTACGGGCTGGTGCTGGGCCGAATCCACCCCTGATCCAGTAAGTTATTGATTTGGCGCTTGAGCTCATCTAGCTCTGCCACACTCAGCCTGTATGGGCTTTTGTGAGGTGGCGTCTCCCCTGGCGCCGTATCAATTTCATGATCAACGATTCTCTTCGGGGGTGGCCCGTATGGCAGCTTGTCCCGGAAAACTTCTTTGTACTCTTCCAAAATTCCCTTGAGTTCTTCCCGTACAGCTGGGTCGGCCTCTTTCACTTTCTTTTGGATAACTTCCTCAATCGGCACCTCTGTTTTCACTGGACCGGTTTCCTTCATCAACCG